TGTTGTTTTGGCGGGTCCGGGCTGGGGATTCGAACCCGCCACCTTAGGTGTACGTGGCTGGCGCCTTAGCCGGTTGAGCTATAGGCGCCGAGCCACAATTTCTTTTTCATCTCAGCAATATATTTTGGAAATTTTCCTATTCCCCAAGATGTGGACTGTTTCCACAGTTGTACAGGTGACCCCCTCGTTCTTCGTCACATCCCTCAGGACAACAGTATCACTTGCTCTTCCCCACATTTGTGAACATGCCCCTGGGTGTGCATGTTTGGTATAATGAACATTGCTGCAACGAAAATCCGTAAGGTTTTTCTACACAGCTACTCGTATTTTCCTGGGCTAAATAATGTTGGAAACTAGAAATACTAGGTGAAAAGCTAAGGAGTTTTAAATTTTTATATTTAGCAATATAAAAATTGCCGTTTTCTCAGCTCCACTTCATAAATGCTTTTGTGTCCACTGATCACAAATGGATGAGGTGATGATTGTTCCCAAATTACTCTGCTGCCAAAGGTTCCTTCAAGCTCGAAGCCATCCCAGAGAAGTTCTCACATTTAGGGGGAAATTTATTCTGTGGTTTCCTTTCAGTCCATTCTCAGTAGCCTTCTCTCTCTCCTAGGAACCCTCACAACTTTTATCCATATGTTTTATTTTCTAGCACTTTTGTGAATGTCTTTGAAGATATGTTTGTATGGTGTTACCCTTTAGGGAAGCTGGGTGAAGGGATGCATAATTGCCTCCTGGGAGTCAATTCTTTCAAAAATAAATGTTTTTTTAAAAAGCACATTTGTCATTTCTAGGAATTTGGATTAAGAGGGTAAGTCTGGAGCAAGTGCACAGTTAATCATTTCGATTTCATCCTATTCCGTTTTGAATCATTTCAACCAAGCATGTTAATTTTGAAATAATATTCCATACACCATTTTAGAAAGAATGAGGTAAAATACACATACATGAAAAGAAATTTTAAAAAAATAATTTGATCTTTGTATTTGCCCTTTATAACAAGGAACTTTAATCTCATTTCTAAGTTGAAAAACAAGATCAGGGAATTGGGATAAATTACAAAGATATGTTTCAATAAAGAGATGCTCATAAGTGAATTGGAGTAAACTGATAAGTTATGACTTTAATCTTTTTAAAGATACTTGTTTGTGTCCAGTTTTTGTAAGTGTTTCCTGTAAAAATTCCAATTCTGATGTCCATACAGCTATTTTGATGAAGCATCAATAATTTCATGTGGGAATATGTGGCGTAATAAATGGTTGGGCCATTCCTATTTTTAGGCATCCAAAGGAATCAGAGTCACAGTCAGTGTGGCATCTTTCTTTCTTGTCTGGGCCACAGTGGGCCACTTGTTGGATAAAGACACTACTAGTTATTACGTTCAAGCATTTTGTATTGTTACCAAATTAAACCCAGTGCATACTGTTTGTGTTTGGGAGAAATTCCATTTTGTTATTCCTTTTTGTTGCATCGCCCAGGGCCTTGGTACAGTTAAACTTCTGAGCAGGAAACTGGGCTCTTACCTGGTGATTTCTCCCCCTTGCTCTGCTTTGTGCTTGGGACAAGTCTGGGCCATGAGCTTGTGTGCTCTGCCGTGGGGGAATGCTCCTGCTCCCAGCGAGGGTGTCCAGATGAGAGTTGGAGGGGTGTATCTGTGACAGTGTCCCGACTCCATACTCTGGAATGTGCTGTACTCTTGTGCTTTCTAAATAAGCTGGGAGACGGTTGCTCATAAATAATTCTGCCCCTCTTTTCCTCAGGCTTTCTGGAAAGGATATAAACAGCGGAAGGCATATATGGTCAGACGACAGACCTTCGGGGATAATATTTATTCTATTGTGAAGGTAAATATTTTTTTTTTCCATATCAAGTACGTGACTGAAAATTTTCCTCTCATTCTGATTCTGGAAGACAGCTGTGGGAAAAGGGTACATGTGAGCCTGGGAGTCAGAAGACAGGCCTGGGTTTGAATGCCAACTCTGCTTCTCTCCCAGCTAATAGTGTTCCAGCAAGCCAGCTGGTGACTGGCTCTGGTCCTGACAAGGTGATGAGAATACATGCAAAAGTATTTGTAGGCACTAAGTGCTCTTCTCTAGAAAGTTCAGATGGATTATTAAAACTCTTGGGGAAACCCAGCTTTATTCCATGCTCCTCTTTTCACATTTACTTAACCCTTCAATTACTAAGAAGTTAAAGTAGTGTATATACTCTTTATTTTAATCTTAAATTTATACAATGGAGGAATATTTTTACAGTTTTTCAGCAAAAATATTTTTGCATCATCACTTTTTGCGTGTGGTTCCACATAGAAACCCCTGTTCAGTTACTCTGAGAAACCTCTGGCAGGCTGGGAAACCAACTTCAAAAAGGTGGTTATTCACAAAACCACTGGAAATAGAAAGGTTAATCATTGTCTGAATGCTCAGATAGAAGGGCACAAAACCTCTCATTATATGGCAAATGCAAAATCAATGACAAGAAGTAGAACTGGGTTAGTGCCTGTCCTGGGCCCCAGTGAGTCTCACCTGGCTTTTCACCCCAGCAGCCAGGTCCAGGTGAGGGAGTGAGACAAAGGCCTGTCCAAAAATGGACTTGCAGACAACTTGAAAGTCCAGATGACAGTTGAAATAGTGGATGCAGGAGAGAGAGTGGAATCAAGTGAGATGAGTTTAAAGGACCTTTTGATCTGGTCTAGCTCCATTATACATCAGATCTTTAATGAGATAATGGCCTGGGCCCATCAAGGAACAGGTACCAGTGCCCTCAGAAGACTGGTGGTAGCAGGTGGTCTCTCATGAGACCTCTGAGGATGTTTTACTATAACCACGTAAAGGATTAGGTGCATTTCACAGATGCTATAGGAACTCCTAGACTTAGTTTTATCCCAGACTCAGTTTGATGCATTGACTCATTGCAACTCTCAGCAAAATGCCTTGCCCTCTCAGCTTTTATTTACTAAGATTAAAGCAAAATAGTACAAAGCCACATTATTGTCCCTACCTCTCTCCAACTAAGGTGATAAGATTAAAGGTAGCATGTAAAATATTTTGAATGCCTTAAGACAGTGATTTTCAACCAGTGTGCTACAAAAGGATCTTAAGTGTACCATGAACATTTTCAAAGATCATTAAGTTATTTTTGAAAGAAATTCAAAACACATTAAGTATATTCTTTTTCTTGCTTTTTTTATTTTTTTGGTCAACACAATTTAAGTGTTCTGCGGAAGTTTAGCTGTGTGGGTTCAAGTATGCCATGAGATAAAAAATGTTAAAAAACAATGCCTTGAGACAGCGGTTCTCAACCTGTGGGTTGCAACCCCTTTGTGGGTCAAACGACCCTTTCACAGGGGTCACCTAAGACCATTGGAAAACACATATTTTTGCACATATGAAGTAGCAACGAAAATAATTTTATGGTTGGGGTCACCACAGCATGAGGAACTGTATTAAAGGGTCACAGCATTAAGAAGGTTGAGAACCACTGCCTTAAGAGAAAGCAATGAGGCTCGGTGCTTGTGGCTTAAGCGGCTAAGGTGTCAGCCACATACACCTAAGGTGGCAGGTTCAAATCCAGTCCAGGCCCGCCAGAACAACAATGACAGTTGCAACCAAAAAATAGCCGGGCGTTGTGGCGGGCGCCTGTGGTTCCAGCTACTTGGGAGGCTGAGGTAAGAGACTCGCTTGAGCCCAGGAGTTGGAGGTTGCTGTGAGCTGTGATGCCAGGGCACTCTACCCAGGGGGACAGCTTGAGGCTCTGCCTCAAAAAAAAAAAAAGAGGAATGAAGGAAGTGGGAGGTGAACAGGAGGCTTCAGGTATCTTGTTAATCTAGTGGGCTGCTAAATTTCTTATCAAATATCATTTCTGGAAAAACTACCTAAAACTATGTTAAGAGGTGTCTGGTGATTGCCTTGACTTCTCTACTTCTCTTTAGATTCAGTCCTGGTTCCGAATGTTGTCAGCGAGAAGAAGCTACCTTTCACGACTACAGTTTTTCAGAGACCATGTAAGAGAAATGTGTGCGGGGCTTTGTCCAGGTTGAGAATGAACTAAACGAAGGCTTTATTGAACGCTAGCCTTGAGTGATTTCTGTTAAATGGTGGAAATGAACGCTTAGGAAAGGGCAGAGCTTAGAACTGAAGGTGATAACACCGGGAGGCTGACTTTGTAAAATTCAGAACTCATGTCGAGAGTCAGCCTTTACCAGTCAAGACTGGATAGAAAACAGTTGGAGCCGTATGATCTAGTAAGACCAAGGAGAAGCCTTTAGAGAAATATTTTCTGACTTTGCTTGTACAGTTTTTAACTGTAAGACTACATTATGTCCATAGAAGCCCATAGGAGAGTTTTGTTGTTTTTTTTAGAATCTTTAAAGAATAGATATAGAAACCTAGATCGGATCATCTAAGTTCTGAACAAAATACTTTTCCCCTTTTTAGATCATTTATGTGAACAGTCCCTCCCCCACAGTCTTGTTTATACTTTAACTTATCCTACCCATTCTTCAAAGAAAAATGGAAAAATAAGTATCAGATACACCACATCTAAATACTGTCAGTTCTAAGCAGTGTCAGTTCTTAACATACCCCCCACCTCTTAAATGTTCAAAATTCTAAAATAGTGGAGTAGATGGGACTCCAAGAGGTCATGACTTGTCTCAATCTTTTGCAGAAAAACGAAATTGTGAAAATACAGTCGCTGATAAGAGCAAACAAAGCTAGAGATGACTACAAAACCCTGAGTAAGTGGGGGCATTTCCACACAGAGCACGGAGCGAAGGCCGAGTTCTTTCTACCTTACTTCATAGGCTGTCCTAAGAACAGAAGATATACATTATTTCCAGTGGATTTTGATCATCTCAGGCCCCAGGACCACAGCCCCACACAGAGGAGCACTTAGTAAAAAGGAAGGGCTCTCTTGTATGTAAGTGGAAGGGATCAGCCTAGCAGGTATAATTTCTTTCTCAAAACAAATAGGGTTGGCATAAATGCTGATTTTTTTTTTTTTAATTTGAGCTAGAGTCAAGAGTCTAATTCAAAAGCATTAACAAGAAACTCAGCTTGCCTTGAATTGTTTGATTAGTTGGCCTGCCTATGACTCTTTTCTGCCTCATTTTAAGAATAAACATGCTTATATGAGAAATTTTAGAAATAAGAATAAAAAGGAAGTCTCATCTTCCAAAGCTGTTAACTACAAAAATCTCCTTGTAACTTCATTCTGGACTTTTCATAGCAAGTATGGTTTTTAAATTTTTTTTAGTGTAATATTAGCATATTCCATTTGTAGGAAGTTTGAGAATAGCAAGATAAAATAAAAATATCCCGGATAGCAGTTACATTTTGTGCCATCTCCTTACGGTCCCAACTCTGCCTGTTTATGTGTGTGTCTTTTGTTTGTTTTGTTGTTTTTTCAGACAGTCTCACTTTGTCACCTCAGGTAGAGTGCTGTGACCTCATAGCTCTCAGCAACCTCAAACTCTTAGGCTCAAGTGATCCTCTTGCCTCAGCATCGTGAGTAGCTGGGATGCCTGATACAATGCCCAGCTATTTTTAGATATGGGCTCTCATTCTTCTTCAGGCTGGTCTTAAACTCCTGAGCTCAACCAATCCACCTGCTTCAACCTCCTAGAGTACTAGGATAGATTATAGGCGTGAGACACTGTACCCACTGTTGGTTTTGTTTTAAATGACAGGATCTCACTCTGTTCCCCAGGCTGAAATATGGTGGCATGACCATAGCGCAACTGTAACGTTGAGCTTTTCTGGGCTCATACAGTCTTCCTACCTTAGCCTCCCAAGCAGCTAGCACATAACCACCATGCCCAGCTTTTTTTTTTTTTTTTTTAACAAGATGGAGTCTCACTGTGCTGACCAGACTAAAATCTGGCCTCAAGCAATCCTCCTGCCTTGGCTTCCCACAGTGCTGGGATTATAACCACCACCATGCCTGGCCTGTTACTTAGATTTTTTACATAAAATGATTCCTTATGTTCTGAGTGTTGTACCCCCTAAGACCTGAAAGGATAGAGTTAGACCCCCACTTAGATGTAATTAACTGGTAATTTATTTCACCTGCTTCAGAGGCTGCTGCACTGGATGGCAGCAGCACCAGTAGGGGGCTGAAGTTGCCTTTTATAGGTTTTGTGTAAGCATGTTACAGAAGCAAAAGGTGGCTGGTTAAGGCAGGTTACAGCTCAGGTAGTCATGGATACAGCAATGGTTACAGTAATGCAACAATGATTAATACAGATTTGGTCGACAGTGGATACATCTCATATCACAGTGGTCATGGTTATACAACAATAATTAATCAAGTCTCAGTGAGTTTTCTACCATTGTTCACCTACTGAGAACTTGGGGGTTTTGTGAAACTTGGGACATTTCTTCCCTGTTCTGAAGTTTGTTCTTGGCAACCCTAGGGGGAAGGAGCCTGGAAACATGACTGGGGAGCACGTTCTCAGCCACTCTGGGGGGAGGAGGGAAATGGGTTGGGGGGGGGACAGGAGAGGGTGGGGGGAAACAAGAGACAGCTGGGGAACAGGAGTGGGCAAAGGAAAGAGGGCTGGGTTACAGCACTAAGTTTTTAATATTCTGACGTCACAACATATATATGTCCCAGACTAAGTTAAGAGCTTTCTGATAAATGAATTGCTTACAGTGCATAGTAAGGAGTTTGGGCAGCACCCTTTATTGTCTAAAGTTTATCTGGATTAAGGTGGAAAATGTATGGCTCGAGAGACATTCACTGTTATGAAGGAAGGAGCCTACAGAGGCTCTAGAGCCCGTGTTCTGCTTCCAGCCTTCAGCGTCTACTGAGTAATACCTTATCCCATAGATTTCAGAATTTGTGTGCACAAAGTAAGAACCGTCAATCTTTTCAATGCCACAACTTCTCCACTTTTGAATTAATGAGGTCTCTCAGTTGGTGTATCTCAAGTTTTTTACAAGAAGGCAGAATACAGAAGGTTTGTTTTCTGAGCCGTAATACACTATTGCAGATTTCTTATTACCTTTGTACACAAAAGATGATGCAAAACAGATTTTCCAAATGAACACAGGCTAATTTCATTTTTCAAGAGTCAGGATGCCAGGGAATTAAAGACTGAAGTTCCAGGTGCTAAGGGAAAGTGTTTCGGAATTTGTATGAGAATACTCCTGTCAGAGACTAGGGCTGGCCCCCTGGCTTCTGAGCACTTCCCCTCAGCCTGGTGAAGGGACAAATCTTTGTCTTTCTGCTGAGAGAACATTTTTTCCACTTAACATTCCATGGGTTCCTGTTTGGCCTCGCAGTCCTCCCTTTCTTGACCTTTTCTAATTCAGCTTCGACTATGTCTGGTTCCTTCCTAAGATCTTTCAGGCTGAGATAAACTGCTTTCTGCTTCCTGCAGCAAGAACATAAATCTCATTATCTGGCCCAGCCACAAGGTCTCAGAGGTAACTTAACTTTCTTCCCGTGGTTCCTCAGGAACAAGGCACAGATAGGACTATCACCTCAGTGCGTGAGTCCGGAACAGTGTGAGAGAGGACTGATACATGGGTAGTTAGGTAACTGCAAAACAGTGGGGCCAGACATCCGGTTTTGTACGTATATTCGTATGATCCGTCTCCTTATCCAGATTTTTACATGAGGGGCATAAAGATTCTCTCCACAGATCAAGTACTTCCATTGGTGTATTTTTATATTAATACTTTATCTAAAGACCTGGTTTCTTTCCTGTTGATAATCATTCCTGCTTTCCTAATTAAAGTTTGCCCACCCCTTTATCTGCAGCTGGCTCCCAAAACCCACCATTAAGTGTAATCCGCAAATTTGTACACCTTCTGGACCAAAGTGATTTGGATTTCCAGGAGGAACTGGACGTCGCACGATTAAGGGAAGAAGTGGTGACCAAGATCAGGGCCAATCAGCAGCTGGAGAAAGACCTGAACCTGATGGACATCAAGATTGGACTTTTGGTGAAGAACAGGATCACACTAGAGGTCAGTGAGTTTATGGGGTGTGCGCTCCCAGAAGGGAGATGCGTGAGCATAGTCACGTGTCTGTGCACCGTGGGGATATGTCTGAGAAACACAGCACTAGGCAGTTTCATTTTGTCACCATGCAAACATCATGGAGTGAATTTATACACACCTAGATGGTACAGCCTACTATCCGCCTAGGCAATCTGGGATGACCTCCTGCTCCTAGGCTACAGACCTGCCCAGTGTGTGATTGTGTAGATACTATAGGCAGTGGTAACACAATGATTTTTGTGTATCTGAACATAGGAAGTGTGCAGTGAAAATACTGTGGTATGATCTTAGAGACTCGCACCATGTCTGTAGTCCATTCTTGACCAAAACGTCAAGTCATGACTGTTTATGCTCATGACACTAGTGTCCAGCTAAGCTCATTTGAAATCTAGAGTAAATTGTCCGAAGTTCATTTATCATTTTTATTGCAGGGTGGTGGGTCACAGACTTCTAAAATTTTATATGCGTCTTCACTTTTCATAACATAGTTTGTAAGGCTTCACTATTCTGAAATGAAGTGTACGTATAATATGCATACCTTCATAATAAGACTAAGGCCTTTACGTAAATATAAAAGAAAATTTAAGAGTGCTGGATAATAAAGCATATATAGTAGAATTTCCCTACATTGACCACCTCCCCAAATTGACCTAATTTTCATGGACTGGACATGCACCACACATATGTGTCAGTACAGTAGGCATAGTTCCTTATGTTGACCTCCCCTGTGTGGTAACTAGTTTGTTACAGTCCCTGGAGTGATCAACTTAGAGAGGTTCTCCTAAGCTGGCTGCGTGGCCTGGGAGGTTTTGCTTTAGGCCTGTCTTGGCTTTCACCATGCCCTCCTCACCAAGCTTAATCATTTCTAGCTTTTGACTTAAAGTGAAAGTCGTTCAACCCCTCCTTCAACTTGAACACTGAGGGGCTGTCATAGGGTTATTAGTTGGCCTAATTTCAAAAGTTTTGTGTCACAGGGAGTAAATAGGGAGGCCTGAGGAGAGGAAGAGGTGGAACGGCGGGTTGGTGGAGCAGTCACAATGTATACAACATTTATAGATGAAGCTCACCATCTCATATGGGCACAGTTCACAGTAACATCAAAGGTCCCCATAATGGAGATAATAATTATCAGAAGTTTGAAATATTGTGAGAATTACCAAAATGATGGCACACGGAGACTCAGATTGAGCACATGCTCTTGGAGAAAATGGTCCTGCCTGACTTGACTGCCACAGGGTGGTCACAGACCTTCAACTTATCAATGAATCAGTAATTGTGACATCTGCAAAGCGCCGTAAAGCAATTGTACAATAAAATGAGCTGCGCCCATATCTCCAGCTCTGTGTGTTTGGGGGTATGTGTGAAGGAAGGAGGTGAAGAGTACCAGAATTTAAAAAGGGTCATTTCATAAAATTTTTACAGGATGTAATTTCGCACAGAACAAAACTGAATAAGAAAAAAGGAGGAGAGATGGAAATTCTAAATAACACTGACAACCAGGGAATAAAAAGTTTGAGTAAGGAGAGGAGAAAAACACTAGAAACGTATCAGCAGCTCTTCTACCTTTTACAGGTAAGAACAATTTAACTCTTACTACGAGTTTGGGATAAATACTATGTTCCGTGTTTGTGGTTTTCACTAGATCTTTCCCAGTGCTCTGGCTACACTAGCATGCGTGTTTTGACCACCTGGTAAGTACCAACTCCGGAATTCTAAACGCTTAATGTACCTTATCCCATCTAATTCTTCTTATAACCCTGGGAACCATGAGAGAATACATGTTTTATTCCTGTGTTACAGGTAAGAAAACTGTGACACAGCCAGTAAATAATAAAACAGGCATTTAGAACCCGTGCAGTTTAACTTCAGACCCCCTGCTCTCCATGACGGAAACAGTGTAAATGTAGTGATAGAAACAGATGCTGTCGTTCATGAAAACATTTAAGTTAACTGTATGTGAAAAACGATCTGTATCAGCACCAGCCTGCTCTTCTTTGGGAGAAAGAGCCCAGAGGGTTGAGATTAGGAAGTACTGTGTCTTATTTTATTATATTCATGGCATGATTATGGTCTGAATGAATCATAATTTCCTGAGTGCTGGCAAGAACCACTAAAGCTGGCTAGGGGTGGACTAGGGTGGACTTTGATGACCACATCTGCCTTTGTAGCACACACAGTCACAGAAAAAACTGTTTGATAGTGATGGATAGAAGCCAGCTCCTCTTTCAGCAGGAAGACTTCCAAGTAGGCAGTAGGCGGGTCAGCTGCTCTTCCTTGTGAGAGCCAGCTGTCACTCAGGGTGGGGCCACTGTTGGTGGTGATTCTTCTAAAGCCTGGCGATGCCTGAATGTTGTTGGAGGGCATCACCATCATTAGGTATATAGCAAGTGTGTTAGTAAGAGTGCTGGCTAGCCTCATGGAGAGAGAAGACATTAATGTTGGTAGAGCTGAAAATTCTCTACGTGGAGTAATAGTTTGCAGAACAGCATCTTCAAACATGTTGGTGCTACAGATGGCCCTACCATGGCAGCATAGAAGGTAAAATTTCATGGTGCTTAGAATTTTCTGGTTAATCCACTGTTTAACACAAGGAATCTTTTCAGAGAGCAAGGAGGGCTCAGTTTAAGCAGAAAATGGTTTGGGTCTACCTAATTAGATTAGCAGTCAACCACCAGTTGGAAATTAAGTCTTTTAGCACTTCTCTTTTTTTTTTATATCTGTGAAATTCCAAGTTTATGAAGATTTTTTTAGGATTTACTTTTGAAAATGTCACAGATTTTGTATAAGCAAAGTCAGTGTTGAGTCATCGTCCTGAGACTCGTATTTGTGTATACAAGACCTTGTTACGTAACTGGAGCTCATTGATGGAAAGGAGGGGAAAGCCCAGGAGCATGTTTAGAGTAACCCCCCTACTCTTTATCCCCAGGCTTAGAGTAATCCCCCTACGCTTTATCCCCAGGCTTTCCAAAACTGATAGTCTCAGGGCGCGAACTTTTAGTTGTATCAAGTGAAGTATCTCTTTAAAAAACCACGTGTTTTTCTTTTGTACTTCTCTACTTTTGAGACGTTAAGATCAGTGAAGAAATTATGGAAAAGCAAATGGCCTGGATTCCTTTGGCCCTTAGATTACACCTTAGCAAGAATTCTCAACCAGGGCGACACCTATGGCTCAAAAGGGTAGGGTACCGGCCCCATATGCCAGAAGTGGCGAGTTTAAACCCAGCCCCGGCCAAAAAAAAAAAAAGGAATTCTTAACCAAAGCAGCAGGTCAGCTAGTAGAGGTTTGGCCCTAATCTGTCTCTTCAGTGTGAGCCTAAATTTGAAGTTTTTAGGTTACCTAAGGCTGAGTGATGAACAGGCTTCTTTAGCTCCCGAGTTAGTCTCATTGCTAATAATTTACTGAATGTTTAATTAGTGTTCACAAAGAATCACTACGGAACTATCCAGAAAGAATTGTCCTGGATGGGCGCAGTGGCTCACAGCTACAATCCTAGCGTGCTGGGAGGCAGAGGCTGGTGAATTGCTTGAGCTCAGGAGGTCAAGACCAGTCTGAGCAAGAGCAAGAAAACACACACACACCCCTATCCCTACTGAAAATCGAAAAACTAGCTGGGCGTTGTGACAGGTGCCTATAGTCCCAGCTACTTGGGAGGCTGAGGCAAGACATTTTCTTGAGCCCAAGAGTTTGAGGTTGCTGTGAGCTACGATGTCACCACGGCACTCTACCCAGGGTGACAGAATGAGACTCTGACTCCAGAGAAAGAAAGAAAAGGAAAAGGAAAAGTTATCCTGAGCTGCTTATTCATAAAATTTGAACCAATCATTATGACCTTGGAAGTGAAGCCAAGTGGTAAAGTAAACCAGAATTTGGATTTTCTTAAAAACCTTAAAGCCAAACTGCTTGAGGAAATTGGATGAATCCTAGTTTTCAAGTGTGAATTCTTCTCCCTTCAGCAGGACTTTGAAGATGAGTGTTAAATTTCTCATGTGAACACTTTCCTCTGTAACCTAAACACTATTTTTTTCTTTTAACCTCTACCCGGTCCGTATAACTGCTGGAGAAAAACCACATTACCACGAAGCCTGGTGCTAGATCTAACGTAATCTGTCCTAACCTGAGCCCTTGGGGCTCCCTGTCAATTTTCTTTTTAATTCCTGTAAATCTTTTAAGTTCTTTGCCCTTGTCTTAGTCGCGGTCTTCCAGCATTTCCTTCACCTGCCATCCTGACTTTAGCTCCTCCCTTCGGCCTTCCCACCTCACTCCCTTCTCACTCTGCATACAACACCGGGGCCATCTCACTGTCTCCACACAGACATATGTCCTTATCTCTTTCAAGTCTGAGAAGATAGTGTTACCCGTCAGTCCTGCCAGGCCAGTCTGTGTAAATGAGCCCTCGTCCATTCTTTTTTTTTTTTTAAGAGATAGAGTCTCACTTTATCACCCTGGTTAGAGTGCTGTGGCGTCACAGCTCACAGCAACCTCCAACTCCAGGGCTTAGGCGATTCTCTTGCCCCAGCCTCCCAAGTAGCTGGGCCCACAGGTACCTGCCACAACGCCTGGCATTTTTTGTTGCAGTTTGACCAGGGTTGGGTTTGAACCTTCCACTCTGGGTATATGGGGCCGGCACCCTACTCACTGAGCCACAGGCACCGCCCCTTCGTCCATTCTTGACAGTCTCTTTGGACTGCAGGTGCTATTGGCCACACCCATCTTCTGCATCTCTAATATTAACATATCGCTCAAAGGGCTAACAGGGAAAATACGTATAACATAGTTGTATATCACAGTAGATGTACTATGTATGACATTTAAATCCTATCATAATGTTCTAATATAGCTTCCTATAGTAGACTGTTAGTAATATTGCCTGACACTTTTTAAAGTTTAATTATTTGCTGATACTCATCTATATTCTTTGGGTGACATGTTGAGAATTGAAGAGGAAGGAATCAGAGACTGCTTTCCACCATCATAACATATTAACCTATAGTTTTATGGGGGGGTCTTTTGTTTTCTTTCCTGTTTGATTTTAGACCAACCCTTTTTACTTGGCTAAGCTGATTTTCCAGATGCCACAGAACAAGTCAACTAAGTTTATGGATACCGTTATTTTCACACTATACAATTATGCTTCAAATGAGCGAGAAGAATATCTACTCCTGAAGCTTTTTAAAACTGCTCTGGAGGAAGAAATAAAGTATGTATATAGACATGTTTGTAAAAGTACCAATGAATACATCCTTTGGCTAGTAGTTATCTCTGGATATATATTAAAATATTTTTAAGTTATTCATACATATGAAAATATAATAAATTTCTTGAGAATTTTCTATATGATATGGGCTATCTTCTGCCATAATTTTCTCTTACAAGTGATACCTTTTCAAATGTTGAATTAACTTTTGATTTTGAAAATCAACTGAAAATCAAAAGCTTATTGAAAATCAGTGAGAAAATGTAAAGCTCTCTGAGTAATACAGTCATTAATGGGTGAGACTGGGGAGAGCAGTTCCTGCCTGTTAGTCTTCTCTTCTTACTGGAACTTAAGCTACTTTTGCTAACTTATTTTCTGACTCAGCTAATGTAAAAATTGTGTAGGTAGCTATAACGAATGGGCAAAAAGAGCATTAGAACTGTCCTTAGCCAAGGTGGACCTCAACTGCTCTCCTAACTCTCTGAAAGCTAAAGTTACACTGGTTCCTATTGCCAAATGAACGAGCCGGGCTCCTCTGCTCTCACGGTGTCTCTGAGTGTGAGAAATAGTAACACTGTGCAGTGGAGTGTGGCAGGTCGTAAGTGAAGGACGTGGGCAATGTGTCGTATGAGAGCAGAGATTTTCAGCCAGTATGCCATGGCATGCTGCTGTGCCGTGAGATAAAAAAGGTTGAAAACCACTGTGTTAGGTGGATGAAAAGAAAGGTTCCAAGTCGATTGACTGACAGATTTTATGAACAAGAAGATGCTTAGCTTAAAACTTTGAATCAGCGCAGACACAGGTGGGAGAAAGAAAGTAGGTATGTCTGGCCAAGATGGGACTTCATTAGCCTCTGCCAGGAGAAGCTGGAAGGTAGGTGGTGCCGCTGAGTGTAGGCCCAGCTGTTAAGGCTCTGTTCACTTTCTGAGGAGCTGGGAAAGGCTTTTGAGCAGGATGTTGACATGCTGACATTGGTCTTTGGAGGGCTAATCTGCCCACCATGTATGAACAGGATGAGCTGTATGGATCAGAGAACTGGGGGCGTTAGATGGCTAAAAAAGAAAAACACAATTTGGATTTTTAGCACACTGGGCTACAGGTATAGAACGTATCATAAAAACATGTAGCCAAAAATGGGACATTTGTGGCTGACCCTCAGGAAAGAGATACAGATTCAAGACTGAGATCAAAGGATAGGTCCCAAAGAGATGGCAGATGGAGTGGTGCCTGTGAGTGAGGTTGGAGGAGATATGTGGTATGGCGGGGCTTGGGCGGACCAGTTACTGTCCCTTTTTTTTTTTACTATTAATTCACCCCATTTGCTCTATAAGATACTGTTAGTCAGAAAGAGAAAACAGAATTTTTAAGTGAGCAGAACAGCCAGCAGAGAAAACAAAAAGCAATGGAGTAGGTAAGATAAGGCCCAGTGTATGGCACCGTCAGGCCCTGCAGGGAAAGGGGGTGGAAAGGGGGAGAGGAGCTGAGAGGGAGGAAGGCTAGAGGATGCACCTGGATGGGGGGGGGGTGATTGTAAGAATCTGCAGTCAGAGTCAAGAAGAGCTCCCTCTGCTGAACCATGCGGCTAGAAGCTGCATTGCAGCGACTTTGAGCGGAATGTGAAATGGAGACAGATCAATCTAGAAAGTTATTTTTGGCATTTGGTAAGTAGAAGGGGCACAATGCTTGTCTAGTCTCTCCCAGCGTTGTTAGTGCTGGTCCGTTTTCAGGTCATACTTGCCTTCGAGGTGGAAGCTGAGATGTTATTTTTTTTACCCATGAAGTTCTTGCCTACCAGAAAAGAGTATATACATTGTTTAAAACTCTAACCATAGAAGCAAACATTTTGTCTCGTTTTGTTAAGATCAAAGGTGGACCAGGTACAGGACATAGTTACTGGTAACCCTACTGTCATCAAGATGGTCGTCAGCTTTAACAGAGGGGCCCGGGGACAGAATAACCTGCGCCAGCTCCTGGCCCCAGTGGTGAAAGAGATTATCGATGACAAGTCCCTGATCATCAACACGAACCCTGTCGATGTGTACAAGGCTTGGGTGAACCAGCTAGAAACGCAGACAGGAGAGGCCAGGTAAAATTTTAGGAAGACATCACATTTGCTGGTTACTTTCACATGTGTATTTGTATGTACTCTTAAACTCTATTGAACAAACAAAAAAAATGTACTATTCAAAGTCAGTTTTCAACCCAGTATTGTATCTCCCTTTCTTAACACAGCCGTGCAGATCCCATTCTTAGATTCTTGGTCATCTTGGGACTGAATGGCATTTCACATTTCAGAGCCAATTGATCCCCAGCCGTAACTTCTATCATTGTCTCCCTCATTTATTCTTTGTATGTTTTTAAACCTAATCTGGAGATGGTACGTAGTCTTCCTTTATCTGATAGGACATATGTGTTTACAGTTACCAAATGATTAACTTTAATGTTTAAGAGTTAACAATCCAGGCAGGATCTTATTCTGGATGGTTGTTTATAGGTCTGAGCAATCCTAGCTTTTTATTTCCTATAGAAGGACATGAAATGAGATGTGTACACAGAATTGTGTGGGTGCTTGTCATAGTACTATTTATAATAATAAAAGTCAGGAAAAGACAAAATATTTATCTTTGGAGAATTTGCTAAATAAATACTTGTATAGCATATGATAGAAAAGTAACAATTTGGAATAGTGATATAGACACAGATTTGTTGACACAGAAAAAATGTTCATAATATATTTTCCGGTTGCTGTTAGGTATGTAACAAACCATTTTTCTGTTTAAAAAAAAATCAATCATGTAAGCCATACTCAGTGGCTCACACCTGTAATCCTAGCACCCTGGGAGACCAAAGCAGGTGGCTCACTTGAGCTCAGGAGTTCAAGACTAGCCTGAGCAAGAGCAAGACCCTGTCTCTATTAAAAATAGAAAAAATAACCGGGTGTTGTGGTGGGCGCCTATAGTCCCAGCTACTCGTGAGGCCGAGGCAAGAAGGTCACTTGAGCCCAAGAGTTTGAAGTTGCTGTGAGCTACGATGATGCCACAGCACTCTACCCAGGGTGGCAGAATGAGACTCTTGTCTCAAGAAGAAAAAAAAGATCATGTGTATACACACAAACACACAGGATTGGAATGTGATGTCTGTATACTCAAGTCTCCCATGCATATGCAAGGCCCATGTGCACATATACTTTCATGCCTAAAGTTATTCACTTAGGCATGAAAATTGATTGTCTCTTCATTGGTATTTTTTGTTTCTTATTAGAGTCAATGGGCAAAATCCAATTCGCCTTACAACACTGTACTGTAGAACCAAATTGGCAGCAATGGTAATGCTTATACCTAAGCTTCCAATTAATTTAAAGCCCCTGTTGTGTTTTCAGCAAGCTGCCTTATGATGTGACCACAGAACAAGCTCTGACATACCAAGAAGTGAAAAATAAACTGGAGGCCTCCATTGAGAACCTGAGAAGGGTCACTGACAAAGTCCTGAACTCCATCATTTCTTCCCTGGATCTGCTGCCGTAAGTGGTACTTGTAGCAGCGTTAACGTCTCTGCCAGAAGTCCTTGCAGTCCGACGTAGAACAAGCCCCTGTAGGGAAGACAGGAGTTTTCCCTGACACTGTGTTTACCGTTTGAAAAAATCACCTGCGTTTACCTTTTAAATCCATAACTCCCCTCTAAAGAGGGAGTGATACTTCCATCATAGCCACCACCACCATGGCTCAGTTATCTTCATCCTTGGAAGTCCTGTGATTCCATTACCATCTCATTTGATATTTAATTTTTAGAGAAACTACTCAGCGTTAGTTGACTGGAATAAATGCTGTGTGTTTTTTTCTCACTTAGCCTTTTCCATTATTTTCTTTTGTCATCTGTTTTGTACGTAGTTATGGATTGAGGTATATAGCCAAAGTCCTGAAGAATTCGATCCATGAGAAATTCCCTGATGCAACAGAAGATGAGCTATTAAAGGTAGATTTTCAAGGGTAATCTCGTCATAGCTTCTCTTGGGGTCTGAACCAAAATTACCAACATACAGTTTTGTAAGATTTGTTTTCCCCATGTATGACTTTTTATAATGAACTCTAGGCATTCTGTATCTCATGACTCAAAGTTATTGGTTAAGCTGAGGTGTTAATTTAGAGATCTCAGACATTATTGAAATCCTTTGTATTAGAGCATTTTGGGGGTAATACACACGTTTTTCACCAAAAATAATTTTGTAAATTACTACATTAGCAATACGTGATTATATTCATTGCCTTTATTTAACTCTTGGTTAGGATTCACATCAGAAAATGATCTGCTTTCTCTTGAAAAATATAAATAGTATGTACTTTTAAAAAAACCTTAAATTCTTGAGTTTTCACTCTTAAAAATGGTCTTTTCCTTCTGCATCACTCTAGATCGTGGGAAACCTCCTCTATTATCGGTACATGAACCCAGCCATCGTAGCTCCAGATGGCTTCGATATTATTGACATGACAGCAGGAGGCCAGATAAATCCCGACCAAAGAAGAAACTTAGGTTCCGTGGCCAAGGTTCTTCAGCACGCAGCCTCCAACAAACTCTTTGAAGGAGAAAATGAGCATCTCTCATCGATGAATGATTATTTATCAACAACATACCAGCAATTCAGGTGAGGAGGGCCATTGGTTTTGGAGAAACATGCAAGAATGGTGGGCAGGAGTAGCATGTGTTCTGTGCCCAGAGCTGGAGTCGGGGAGGGAAGACTGGACCCTAGGTGACTGTGTGTATTTCTTCTGCCTATTGCCACAGAGGGTGAAAAGGTGCAGGGAAGGGGCAGGGTCGCTTCTGCCTGGTGTCCCTCTTCCACCCCCACCCCAATATTCCTGTTACACTGACTCCTTCCTATATGAATGGCTTCTGCTATTGATAAAATGGAACATTTAACTACAGTCTAAAAGTACTTAGAATAAAAAAATTAACAGCTGATTCTGCTTTGTTGAACTTCTAAAAAGAGGAATAACTTTTTTTTTTAACATTTTCTACTCAAAAAGAACTTGGCAAGCAGCACCTGTGGCTCAGAGGAGTAGGGCGCTGGCCCCGTATACTGGAGGTGGTGGGTTCAAGCCCCTGCCAAAAACTGCAAAAAAAAAAAGGAACTTGCCTTATCTGCATCAAATACAGCTGACCCTTGACAACAGGGGTTTGAACTGCTCAGGTCCACTTATATTCATGTGTGGATTTTTTCAGACACTATATAGGCTTTGGGGGTACAAAGCCCATGGATACAGAGGGCCGACTTTATGTACCCAGATTCTGCAAGGTCAACTGTGGGGCTTGAGCATGACCAGATTTGAGTATACTTGGGGGTGGAGCCCTTGGAAACAAGAGATGACTGTCACAGGTTGGGAAAACCCAGAGTTTATATTTGTTGATGATTGTGTGTTAATCTGTTCTATTCTCAAGCCTTTCTTAATTATACATGTCAGATTTAATTCTGTCGACTTTGTGTTTGCAAATTACATCACTAATCATTGCACATGGGCAAGAAAGACATGAGTCTACTAGAAAGATCCACTTATCCCAAAGCTCTCTGAGTAAATTTCCATCTTTGCCTGTGTCCGCTGAACTGCCACTTCATCAGTAGGTCCTAGAATATGACGTGGGTGGGGCCTTTTTCAGTCCTCACCTGGAAAATCATTTCCCACTCCTCACTTTTTCCTCTGGGTTAGTGACTTACCTAGAACGTAGGTAGTTTGTGATCGTTCTTCTCTCTTTAGAATTCATGGCCTTTTGTGAAAAAATTACTCGAAATCTCCCCATTACAAGAAGGTTTGATTTCTCAAGTCTACTGATTTTAGTTCTTCTCACTAACTAAAAAAGGAATATCCATTTCCCACATTTCCTGCAAACCTCTAACTGCTGTGAGAGCTTCCCTTTACTTGTTTTCTTGAATTATTCCTATCAACCATGTATTTCCCAGCTTTTCTTCATTAAAAAAAAAAAAAATCCTCCCTTCACCTCCTCTTAAATTCTTCCTCACTCTTCCACTCAGGGGTCTCTCTACTCAGAAACCCATGCAAAGTCACAGCCAACACACAGCAAAAGACCTATTGTCAGCCACATGATGACCATGCCCCACCCAGCGTGGCTGCCTGCCACGGGCTGGGAAGACAGAGGCTGTTTCTTACACACAAGCCTTGGGTTCCCGTAGGAGTGATACCAAGGATGACTTGGGGCATATGAAACATTGACAGCTTTATGGAATAAAATATATGTATTCTACCTGTACAAAGGTTGTGTGGGCAAAAACTATACCTGGGACGACCTCCCAAAGTTTGATCATGGCATGATTGGCTTTTCTTGATCTGTCTGTATTTACTATAGCTTAAAATACCAGAATTTTTAGGGTCTGAGTATTGGACCCTACATTTTATGTATTTGCGTGTCCAGCCTTAACAGTTTTCGCAATGGCCAGCAAATATTGTTTGGACCAACTAAAATAAGAATAGACTTAACTCCCATTTTTGTCAAACTGGTTACAGATGCTCTTAAGGGTAATTTGGGTGTCGTAGGCCCAGGGGCTTGTGCCAGTAGCAAATGTGATGAATTACTTTTCAGATTATGCTGTCTACAAAGATGTGATTCGCAGAATAAGAATTTTTCTTGGCTTTTTTAATTTAAACTTCAGGAACCATCCTTGGAGTAATAACACTTTAATAACAATACAGTAATAATAACACTGCCATGATTTGATCACCAGGTCCTTACCATTCTCTTTAATCCTGTATGATGAGCTGGGTGGACTCAGCCTCCCTAGTCTGGAGCTGGAAGAAGCTGTGCCATGAGTCTTGGGGTGGAAAACAAAATACTAGTCATCATTCAAAATTTCCTAACTATTTTGATGACGCTATTTAACTCACAAATTTGATTCTATGTCAGTGATTCTCAACCTATGAGTTGGGACCCCTTTAGGGGTCAAACGACCCTTTCACAGGGGTTGCCTAAATATATCCTGCCTATCAGATATTTACATTATGAGTCATAACAGTAGCAAAATTACAGTTATGAAGTAGCAATAAAAATAGTTTTATGGTTGAGGATCACCACAACATGAGGAACTGTATTAAAGGGTTGCAGCATGAGGAAGGTTGAGAACTACTGCTCTATATTAAGACTTTTTCCTCCCTTCATCAGGAAATATTTCAAAGAAGCATGTAATGTCCTGGAGCCAGAAGAGAAGTTTAATATGGACAAATACACAGACTTGGTGACAGTCAGCAAACCAGTCATTTATATTTCAATTGATGAAATCATCAGCACACATTCAGTAAGTGGGATGGGGGCGGAGGGTCTTTGCAGTGGACCCGTGGTTCAGAATCTGTTACCTTGAACATGTGTAGTCTCAGCTCTGTGCCTGTGGCTCAAGCAGCTAAGGCGCCAGCCACATACACCTAAGGTGGCAGGTTCGAATCCAGCCCAGGCCTGCCAAACAACAATGA